CCCCCACTCCACGCCTACGTCACTAATTACTGTAAATCCAACACTCCACGCCTATGATATTTTCCGTCACAACGACGACACATCGCTACATCGTCCACCTCTATACCCCCACCCCCTCCCCCAAACCGTCGCATGTAAAACCACTCACCCGACATCAACTAGACTGCTCACACAGACATCAATCTTCATTTCCCCTGCCCTAGCCTGTGTCGACATTGATACACCCAGCTGTTGTCGGCATGTTAAGGACCCCGTGACGGCCAGCCGGTAATTAGGTAATTAACTCCACCAATAAACTCGTGTCCCACTGACATCGTTCTGCGCGAGATTTAAATAATACCCTTGGGGGCGCTGATAGCAACTCATGGTAGCGTGGTTACATTTGGCTCCCTAAACCGGAAACGGAACTTGTATATTCCTTGTTTCTATTTCTTGTAAACTTGTAGTTTATGAAAAATAAGAAACAAGACATATTGGAGATGATGTTTAAAATTGTTGAAATTATTTTTTAAATTTATGAAAAAAAACTGTTCTTTTAATAATAAATGAAGTGCGTTTGAAAAAAAAGAATAAATAAATACTTTAGCAGTATAATTAAACAGTATATACTATTTGTTATATATAAGTTGTAAAGTATTATTAAAAAGGATGAGACTAAAACCAGAGTTTCTTCCAGGCATCTCTTCGGGGCCCCCCGAAAAATTTTTACCGCCCCCCCCCCCCCGAACGAAATTATATTTATATAATTTATATAGAAAATATATACTTTTAACAGTGTCCGCCCCCCCGAAGAAAGTTTACCGCCCCCCCCCCCCGAAGATTTCAAGTGCCCCCCCCCCGGAGAAAAAAGTCTGGAAGAAACACTGACTAAAACGAACACACACACACAAATACACACAGTCACTCACTCTCTCACATGCACACATACACACACACAGTCACTCACTCTCACACAACCACACAGAGCGAGAGAGAGAGTTTATATATATATATATATATATATATATATATATATATATATATATATATATATATATATATATATATATATATATATATATATATATATATATATATATATATATACATACATATATAGATTCAATATGCATATATTCATATATATATATATATATATATATATATATATATATATATATATATATATATAGTTAGGGGAGCAAAACTACACATATCTTCTAATGTTCTATAAAAAAAAAAAGAAATTCGCTGTTTTGTCGAGTGGTGATTACCGATGGCAGTATTTTGTCTTGTAGAGTGTACTTGGTGCGCCTTGGTGCGCAAGTTGCGATAAATGTCAGACTGGTGGGGGGTGGGGTGGCATGGGGCACGCGTTAGGCACGGGCAGGGGCACTCAGTAGAGAATGCTAAAGATGAGTACAGAAGCGCGTTCTCATTAACGTAATGAATAATTGTTTAAGTATTTGTTATCGGGACATTGTGTCATACATTAGACAGTGGAGTTATTTTTAGATGTCAATAAATGTCATCTTATGATCTTTTGGTACACCCAGGGGCGTGGCTAAAGTTTTAAAAATTATTTAATTAATTTCTCAACCTAGGATACTTGTCTCTTCGTGTCATCTTCTTCTTCTTCGTTCTTAATTGTAATGTTGTAGAACATTTCCCACAACCCAATTTTAAATATTACCTGTCAACAAGGTATGTACCATATGACCTGTTTATTCCGATTATCAGTCTGCTTTCCTTTCTGATTTTCTTACCAAAGCCTTTACCCACCAAACAACAATCTACAAGCAGCAGTTGTTTTATTTTGTAGTTGTCTCTCCTAGATGGATGGCTGTCACCAGCTATCAGGCCCCATCTGTCCGGGGTTCGAACTCGGGACTTTTAGTAACCATGAGCTTAACCGACTCAACCACGCCAAATTCGATATACTTTATTCCTGTTGTCTGGAATGTCCTGATCCTAGCTTGCCGTGTTTCGAGATGTTTCTTTAAAAAAATAAAATTTACGATTAAAATTAATCTCAATATTTAATGTACACATCGTTTAATTAGTAAGTAAAGCTCCCTCTTCGAGCCTGTCCATAGGCAGAGGCGTAGCGACCCTTCCCGGCGCCCGGGGACAAACTTTCGATTTGCACCCCCCCCCCTAAAGCTTTTGATTTGCACCCCCCCCCCCTCAAACTTTCGATTACTTTTTACAACCCATTTTGGCGCCCCCTAAGGTTGGCGCCCGGGGACATATGCCCCCCCTGCCCCGACTCCCCCCCCCCCCATCGCTACGCCTCTTTCCATAGGGCAAGTGAAGGACGGTCCAATAGTTTCGTGACCACGGCATATGTAGGGATAGTGTGGTTAGCTCTGTGCCCAGCTGCCTTACACTTTCCTGGGTGGACTCAGGGACGTTCTATTTCCTTGAACCGGGATTCTAACCTTCGGGTAATCAGTCTATCGCTCTACCTCTAAGCCACGCCGTTTCACAGCAGTTTAAAAAATAAATATCTAAAATACTATAAAGCTAAAATGAAAATAGAGAAAAAATGTAACAGTGTCAACGATTCAGTATACAAATGGAATTTTTATTTACGCACTGTGAATGTTATACAGCTTTTACAGAATGTTTAGATTTATTCAAGCACTAGCAGTTTCTCATAAATGTTTTAAACTAACATTTATAAATGCATAAGTTTTGCATTTCTAAATGTAGCTAAAGTAAACTATATTTAATTCTAGTAGTGAGTGGAGCAAATAAAATTAGATAGAAATTATTATCACATTGGGCATATTATAGGATTATTTCTTGAAGGTGAATTGCGAATTTTGAAAAAAAAAACACATAATAAACACATATTTAAAATAAATATTAGTTTTTTTAATTTTTTTTTGGGTTAATGAAATACTTATAAAATACATGTGTAAAATTTGTTTTACTTATAATTGTGTATGAAAGTTTATGAATATAGAGCAATCGAACGCATCTTCTAGTATGTAGAATTCTCATTTACCAGAATCTCGAAAATCGTCAGATTTAATACTTTATATTTATCGGATGGATTGTATGCATCACCAATTTTACATCTTTATTCTCATCAAATAAAAGAAATAAAATGTAATTCTATATGCTTAGATTTAAATAAAAATTAATCATATCATTTAGCATCTTTATACTTATCAAATCAATAATAAAATCATTATAAATATATTTTCAATTTCCATATTTTTCAAATTTTATTCTTCTTCTTCTTCGTTATTAATGTTTAGTGTTGGAAGGGATCCCCTCCAACACAATTAAGTATGCGTTTCAGCTGGTTATGCACCATTAAGGCCATTGACTCAAGATTTCAGCCTGCTTTTCTTTTTGGAATAGCTTCCATAGACTTTGTCCAACCAAGAACAAACTACAAGGCAGCAGTTGTATGATTTTGGAGTTGTCTCTCCCAGAAGAGTTGCTGTCCCCAGCTAACTAGCCTCATCTGCCAGAGCTTTCGAACTCGAGACTTTTCGGTTTAGCAACCATGAGCCTTACCGACCACGCCGACCCCCAAATTTTATTAAAAATCATAATATTCTACATTTTATAATTATCAAATTAATCAAATATATATCTTTCTACTTATCACACGAAGAACAGAAATAATGTATGTGAACATCTTTATATTAATGAAATTAATATTCAGAAATAGTAAGTTTCATCATCTTTATACTACTCAAATAAATGCATAAAAACCTATTAACTTCTAAAGTTTCATTCACATTTAAAGGGCTAATGTATTGATGGACCCCCACCCCCCCTCCCCCACCCCACCCTTTGTGCTGGAACATTCCACAGCGAGCACGGCCCGTTGTGGAACTCACCGCGGCTCGATCGGTGGTCTCGGGGTTCCCCGGGGTCTCGCGCATTCCCGCAGCCCACGGGAAGAATGCCCAGAATGCACAGGGCGAGTGCTCGTGACGCGCTCACGAGCAAAGTCTACTCACGCCGGTACCGGCTGAGGCTAATAAATGGAAATAAAGGGCCCGTCCCGGGACGAGAGAATCCGTCCGGCGGTCCGGATGAATATAGATGGAAATTTCAAAGACAGGGAAAATATGGTCTGGAATAGTTTCTCGTGTTCGGGGTTTATTAATGGCTTCCCGGCTAAGTCAGACTTACAGAAGTCATGGGTGGATTAAGCTTGCAAGGGGTCCCATCGTTTAGAGATTATTTAGGACCCCTGCAAGTTACAGGGCCCTTAATCAGCAGGTATTAGATGTTGCTATACATGAAAATCTTTAGGAATCATCAGCTTAGATCAAACCCGTATATCTAGAAATGACAAAAGGCTCTCACCGCATTATTCCCGATTTGAGTTTTTTGTTTTTTTTACAATAGCAGCATACAATTTGTGTACGTAACCATTGGTTACACACAACTGTGTAATATCCCTAAACATGAAAAACATTTTAAACAATTATTTTGCTAAGAAATTAAAAAAAAAAATCGAACAGACGGAAGTAGTGCATATTGATTTCTGTATATTCATTTGATTTATATAGTGGTGTTTAAAAATGATGCTTTTATATATTTTAGTTTGCTTTATAAACCAGGAAACCATGTAATTTGGGTGGGGTTCATACACCAGGAAACATTATAATCAGGGTGGAGTTTATCCACTAAATTTGTCTTACAAATGTCTTACAATTATGTAACTTTTTATTTTACAATTGTGTTAATTAAAAAAAAAATCAGGCGGAATATAATTTTTAAGGTACATTTTTGCTTAGAGTTTAAAAATAAACATAAAAAAGTGCTATTAACACAATGAATGTGTTTCAAGAATAATTATTTTTGTACCAAATAAAAATGCATTATTAAACCAGAATACATGAACAAAATGTATATATCATTCTTTTTAAATAACAGTATAAAAAAGATCCAAAAAAAAAATAAAATAAAAAAAAATCTTTAACAATATCTAACTTTATAAAAGTAACAAAAATGAAATTTCAACAAATGCATTCTTTTTTTAACAGACACACCCTTAATGTGTCACCGGAAGTTGCCGCCATCTTTCTGGAACTCCGCCTACCAGGCTCCCTGCAATAACAACAGCAACTTCTCCCTGGGGGCCGACGCCTACTTCCAGTCCTCGCTCTACAACTTCCACAAGACCTGGCCCTACCACTACGGCACCCAGTCCCACGCCTACCCCCAGAGCGCCCTGTCCTACCCCAGCATGGACGCCACGGGCAGGCTGACGTCACACTACGGCTCGCTGATGATGTCGGGCCCCTCGTTGACAGGGAGGATGGCCGACACGCGTCATCACAGTCAGTACGATCTGACCAAGTCCACAGACGCCTTTTCGGGCTATTATGGGATGGGGAGGTTTGGTTCGGAGATGGAGACTAGTCTGCCGGGTGAGTGATGTAAATCTATTAATACACATATGCGCGCATGCACGTACACACTTACACACACAGGCACATGAACGCACGCAGGCACACGCACGTAAACACACATTCATACACGCACAGACACTAACACATGCGCACACACACGCTCGGTCACGCACACACACAGGCACATAAACATACACGCACGCACGTACACACGCATACACACATACACACGCATACATACACGGGGACACAGACACTCACACGCACACAGACAGAAAAACACGTCGGCCTATATTCACAAACACGCACACACACGTGCACACACACACATGCACACATACAGATGCACACACATGAACACACGAATATGCACACACACGCGAAAACACAGAAATACACGATCTCAGACACTCTCTCGTGTATACACACACACGCACACACACACAGTTGAATTTCTGCCGCGAGTTGGGAAATGTAAAGCCGGATATCACTTATATATGCTCATACTAACAAGCATCGTGACCCTCATCTGCTTATAGACACATGTAGTCTGATAAAAAAAAAAAAAAAAAAAAAAACTAAATTTATTTACTGCAAACACATATTTTCTCGTAGGGAATTACTGTCAGAATAAATTTCCACAAATATGCAGTAGTGTAAAAGTAATGGCTCTGTATAAGAATGAATGTATATATATACATACATACATATATATATATATATATATATATATATATATATATAGTGTGTGTGTGTATATTTATTCTCAAAATATTTCTAACCTATCAATACCTTTTTTCTCAATAGGTTTAGACCTCCCGTTACAGCAAGCTAAGAAAGAACATTATTGGTGATTTGTTGAAAAAAAAACGAACAACAATATAAACAATATATAGACAAGATACTGGGAAAAAAAACTTCACTGCTGAAATCAGGGGAAATAATCCTACCTCTACCCGACGCTCACTGACGTCACTGGCTTAGAAAGGCCAAGCCCCGGGGCATGAAATCAGCTGTGACGTCATCAACGTAACGGACGTTTTAAAGTTGTGTTGTAAACTGGTCTTGTGATAAACCTCACAGTACGCATTCAAAGACAGAACTTTGGATAACTCACAGATAACAGCGCCTTTATTTTGTGTGATACGGTAAATTCCACAAGGATAAAAACACAAGCTTGAGTTGTCTCGTGACGCTATACTCCAGGAACTACCAGCTTTAACCTAATAAATTGTTTCCTAAAATGTTTAAACTAAATTAAACGGTGTGCCGAGGAATTTCTTCAACAGAAGTCACATCGGATTTTACAAAAATAAAATAAATAAAACTTTTCTAAAATTGCTGTTGCTTCTAAAACCAAAGAAATTAAGTTAGAAAATAACCAGGTCTACATTATATGTTATCATGGATATTTTGCTCTCATTTCATCATAGTTTTTACTTTATACAAAAAATTGTGAGTAAGATAGGTAAAATAGATATCACTTGTGTTATGATTTTAGATCATGTATAGAAAAATATATTTAAAACAAATTTTGTATTGCTAATCTAGGTAATAGTTGAAAGGTAGGTAAATATACATTACTTGTGTTATGATTTTGGGTAATTTAAAGAAATAAAAAAAAACCAAGTGTTTACCTTAGAAGTATTGTGGGGTGTATGGCTCTAGTCATCATATCCATGTGCATTGTTATTATTTTCATTGTGTTCACTGATCATCGTTGTTATTATCATCATCGTTATCATCAGTATTAAAAGCACTATCATCACCGTCACTGCCAGTATTACCATCATCATCATTATCATAATCATCATTGTCATTATCATTTTCATCATCATCATCATCATTATTATTATTATTATTATTATTATTATTATTATTATTATTATTATTATTATTATTATTATTATTATTATTATTATTATTATTATTATTATTATTATTATTATTATTATTATTATTATTATTAACATTATTTTTATTATTATTATTATTTTTAATATTATCATTTTGGTTAACATTATTATTATCACCTTATTTTTCATCGTTTCACTGATTACATTTTCATCACAACGTCCATTCTTATCTTTACTTTTATTTATCTTGCCAACCTTTAATGTATGTCTGTAAGACCCATCTTGTATGTGTCTTTAAAAATATGTAAATCTATGAAGCCCATACATTAAGTGTCCAAGACATATGTCAATGAGACCATATATTATGTGTCTTTAAGACATGTATGTAAGTCTCTGAGTCCCATATATCTGGCGGGGATTGAACAACATATTGCTAATGTAAATAACTAAACTATTGATATCTTTATACAGAAATAAAATATATGACAGATATTTGACTTACTATATTTTTCTTTCTTGTTGTTCGCTTGGAAATGTTGTTTAAAAATATTTTAACAAACGATATTTAAAGTTTGGATAAAATTCAGATAGTGTGTTTAAAAAAACGTAAGAAAAATGAAATGACTGATAACTTTTCGTTGAATCGGCCGATAATGTGGCATGCATACAGTTAAAACTTACTTTCCAGTGGATATGTCATCAATTATGAAATTTTTGTTCATGAGTGTGGGGGGACAGTTTTACCATCAGTGTGAGGATCAATTTTACTATCAGCCTTCATTTAATTAAAAACAGCACGCGGCTCCGATATCAGGACACTGTTGATAAAATCATGAATATGTTAAACATACAATAAAACGCATTAGCAATTAGTTTCTGTCTCCCGAAAAATACAAAAAATAAAATTACCCAAAATATGAATGTTGGTATAAACTATATAATTTAAAAAAAAAATAAAATAAAATTTGAAGTCTTTAAAATTCTTTGGACTATGAAGGTATGTATATGTTTTGGATATCAGTTTCACATTACAATATCTTCTTAATAATAAAACACTTGTTTTTCTGGCTGCTGTTACCTAAGTTTAGTTTATAGAAAGACGTTTTGTTCTCACGTATGTGCTACTCGCTCCTGTTGTTGTAGCCTCCTCCAGTTTGGCTTGATAAAACTAACTTACTTAAGGTTATATTCATCAAAGCTAAGTGTTTAGAAAAAAAACAATAGTATTTTTATGCAATACATTTTGTGGCCTTGTGTGATTCACGCATGTATACTTAAGTCAATTAATATTTGGTACCAGCAATATGTCAACATCTGCAGCTGTATGTATAGATGTTAGTGAATTATACGTCATACAGGCCCGTATCTTGAGTCTGAGATAAAAATCCAGTAGTTAAAATCAATATTATTCGTTACAAAAAAAAAACACATTGTCAAATCAGGTGATAGGATTTTTCAGAATAATTTTCACAACGCGTTTTAGCCTTAAGCACATGGTTATAAAATAGACAAGCAATTAGTAAAACATGTTTATTATCTAGATACAGAATGGCTAAAACATAAACCATTGAACAGTCCGCTATTGTTCTCAGCATAAAGTTCTCTAAAATACCGTATCATCCAAAGTAACCGCGATCTTCACTGTCTCATAACATTTCTGTACGTATTTTCTCACATTATCAAGTTTCATTTTCTCTCAGTTTTGTTGTTGAGTTCAGCGACACACTTTGTATTATCTATCAATGATCCTTAAGTTAGACCAGGGGTCTCCAAACTTTTCAGTCCGAGGGCCGCATTGACTATCAAATTTCAGTTCGGGGGCCAGTTTCTTCCAGGCATGTCTTTGATTTTTCTGGGCAAAGTTCCTCAGCCATCACCAACAAACGTTTCTTCCGTGGACAAAAAGAGCTCCGCGGGCCGGATGAGAGGACCTCGCGGGCCGCATCCGGCCCGCGGGCCGTAGTTTGGAGACCCCTGAGTTAGACTATAAAAATAACCGATTTTTACAATTACATAAATGATATGTCAAAATGACAGAATCACATTTACATAAACATTATGGTAATAAGACAGACATGCACCACAATAACATAGTATGTTTTACTTGAAGTCTTCATAACATGATATTTAGCACCACAAATAACTTTACCAACGTGATATTTATAATCACATATAACGTAACAAACACGATAATCACAAAAATAACTTATGATAAGTTTCATGAAGGGTAAAAAATTTAATTACTCCCGAAGTTAAAATCTGAAAATTAGTTGAAACTAAAAATTGCATGCAGTACGTGTTTAAACAGTATAGAGATTAATAATTAAATTATAAATACGATTAACAGATTGTTGATTAAAAACTATCCAATACAAAAATAGAGAACGTGCTAGATCTAGTATTACTGTTACAAGAGTTTTAAAATGAGATTTCCTGGATTTCAGTTGTATTTTATTACAATTGTGTTTAATAATTTTCTATGTCAAGTTCAACAGGTATCATTTACAAGCTTGTTTTTATTTCACGTAAATTCATCTGTCTGTTTGTCTTGTTTAATGTTTTGTCCGTCATAAGTCGAGTCTTGCGATCGAAATTTGACCCGCTTCTACCGAACCGATTTATTTCGAACTTAACACACAGGTCATTACAATAACAGATGTAATGTCACAAATATTTCAAAAAATTAGAACTTTAATTAATTTTAAATCATTAATTAAGATTGCTCTATAAAGAAAAGACGCGCGAATTAACACACAATTGTATGTCTAGATGGCTTAAAGGCTTGTATAAATATATTTAAAAGTATATAACAAACAGATTTTAGACATTGAATAGAAAATAGAAAATCAAATCGTAAAACACGGATAGATTCAATGGGGGTTATTTCACTTTGTATCAAAATTGATACAACATGAAATGAAGGGTTAAATCTTGAAATGAGTTTTTAATTACAAAAACCTATTAATACTATATAGTTTTAGATATAATTGTATGCAAACAAATGAACATATTATATAGCCATGATTATGCTAGTAATAGTTTCATTTTATGTATAAAAATATATACTTCAACCGGACGAAATAAAACAAAATGTACACATCAAATATATTCTTTAATACGCAGTGCACCCATCAACCGAAAGTTTCAAGTACCCAACCAGCGGAGATAAAATGTCTGAAAGAAACCCGGGAGTTGGGTCTACGAATGTAGGTCTACACACTATATCTCTCCACAATACGCCTTCACCAATGTGCTTTATGTAATGTGACCTGACTCTGATGGTCTTATGTTACCCAAACTTGTATGTAAGTGATTTAGTATTACCGCGCTCTTTGTATGAACGTGATCTTGTGTGAACGTGATCTTGTGTGAACGTGATCTTGTATGAACGTGATCCTGTATGAACGTGATCTTGTGTGAACGTGATCTTGTATGAACGTGAACTTGTATGAACGTGATCTTGTATGAACGTGATCTTGTATGAACGTGATCCTGTATGAACGTGATCTTGTGTGAACGTGATCTTGTATGAACGTGATCCTGTCTTCACGTGATCCTCTACACAAAAACACATCCAACCCGTCCTTTGACCAGCAGCCCCGACAGACTGTGGATCAGTGACTGACAGTGACGAATCACAATCCACCATTCCACTCCGCTCCACCCCCGCCACCCACCCTCACCCCCCGGGGAAGCGCCTGCTAGAACCATCAGACAGGGGCGGCTACTCTTCTCAATGTCCTGAAACATTTCCCCGCACGTCACACTGACATATAATATATTTTAACGCAAACACCGAAATCGTCACGGGCTTGACAGTTTAGAGAAGGATTCAATGGTAGAGTTACCGGACCTGATGAGGAGTGGCGTCCCTTTGCTTGTAAAATGTAAACAACTTGAAGTTGCGGCCCATGAAATTTTCCATGCTCATTCAGAAACTGATATTCGTAGACTGCTGGTCTTTAAGACTCGAAAGACATGTTTTGTAAACGAGTACCTCCTCACTGATTTAAACATGTGTTCCTGTATTTTGGTGATCCTCGCTTGGGAGTATG